TGGGAAGAAGCAGTTAATTCAAGACCACTGCTATTTGAATTCTTTCACTGTTCAAGATGCACACCCATTACCCAATACCCAGGCCCTGTTTGATGAGTTGGTTGAGTCCAAATACTATGCCAAGTTCGACATTCATTGGGGGTTTACAAACCTTTGGGTAAAAGAAGGAGATGAGTGGAAAGGGGTGTTCATTACCCCTAGAGGACTGTTTGAACCAACAGTAATGTTCTTTGGTCAATGTAACTCACCCCCTTCTTTCCAGAGGTATATGGACCATACCTTTGAATCACAACATGGAAAACAGGTTGGATATATGGATGATGTCATTATCCATGCCAAGACACTGGAAGAACTCTGAAATCATGTCCTGGAGTTCCTGGAGATTTGTGAAAGGGAAGAACTGTGCCTTAAGATAAGCAAGTGCTGCTTTGAAGCTGAAGAAGTTGAATTCCTTGGGATGATCATTGGAAAGGGGCATATGGAAACTTTGCCTATGAAGACCAATGCCATCTCCTCTTGGGAAGCCCCTGAAAATCTTATGGGACTTTTCCAGTTCCTTGGCTTCTGCAACTTCTATTGCAAGTTTATCCCTTCCTTCTCAAGTGTTGCTAGGCCCCTCCATGACCTCACTAAGAAAGGAGAACCCTACTGGTGGACACAGGAATGGAATGCAGCCTTCAAAAGGCTAAAAACTTTGTTATGTTCCTCTCTGGTCCTCACTATCCCCAACTTTTCAAAGCCATTTGCTCTCTTTACTGATGCCTTGAAACTCAGAACTGGGGCAGTCCTTTCCCAGAAGGGAACCGATAACAAGTGGCACCTGTGTTCCTACCTGTTGCAATCCCTGGTCAGAGCGGAACAGCATTACCAAGTCTATGACTGGGAAATGCTTGTGGTCATTCAAGCACTAAAGGCTTTCTGCCCCTACCTCTTGTCTCTGGTAGAGCCCACTGTGATCTTTACTGATCATAAAAAATTGGAGTATTATCATGAACTGCAGCAGCTCACACCTCATCAAGCCTGTTAGGCCACTACTGTTCAGTCCTATCTAATCCATTTTTCCTGGAAAGCTGGCCACCTACAGGTCCTGGCTGATACCCTGTCCCACAAAGGGACCCTTGAGGAGCCCACCCCCATTGCCATGGTTCTCCCTGTGAACCTTTGGCTTTCAGAGGGGGTGGATTCCTGCATTCATTTTGTTTCCCCCACTTTTTCCCTTACAAAAATCCAAAAACAGTTAAAAATCAACCATCTCACTTGCATTGGTTGCCTTCCAGCACAGATACAGCAAAGCCAAAATAACTCCAAGCCCTATTCTCACCCAGCTGAGGAAACACTAAAGGAGAAAAAGGTCCCTGATGCTCACCCATTAAGGAATACTGACAAAGGAGCCAGGGGAATATACACTATATCCATGGACCTGTATGAGCATGTCAAGAATGATACATCAAAAGACTCTACAGGTTCAGAACCCAAGGATAATATAACCCTTGCAAATGACAGAACAAAATGGTTTGGAACCATGTGTTTATACATCCCACCTGAAGACTGCCACCATTGCATGTGTTCTTACCATGATCACGAGTCTGCTGGCCACCCCAGACAAAAGGCAATGTTTGCCAAAATGTGGAAAGAAGTCTGGTGGGAAGGTATGGGAAAGGATATCAAAGCTTATGTCACAGGTTGCCCCTCCTGTCAGACCACTAAGGTCATGACTCACCCACCAACACCACCTGTTGTCCCTCATGACATGCCCAAAACTGCATTTCCATTCCAACAAATCTCTATGGATCTCATCACAGATCTCCCAGTCTTGGGAGAACAAAAATATGACTCTATTCTCATGGTTGTTGATCAGGGTCTTACAAAGGCCACCCTGTTTGTTCTGTGTCACAAAACAATAGACTCTATCAGGATTGCCCAGCTCTTCCATCAGTTCATTTATTCCCATTTTGGTGTCCCAGAGTCAGTAATCAGTGATCACAGACTGCAGTTCACATCATCTTTTACAAGGGAACTTTACAAGGCTATAGGGGGAACTCCTAAGTTATCCACAGGATATCACCTGCAAACCAATGGAGAAAGCAAACAAGTGAATCAGGAGGTGGAAGGGTATCTTTGCCTGTACTGCACAGAAGCCCCAAACTCTTGGGCTGCCAAGCTCCCCTCTGCCAAGTTTGCCCACAACTCCTGCATCCACTTGGTCCATCAAATGACTCCTTTCTTGCTTCTTCTTGGTTACAATCTGTCCCCTTACCCTGAAAAATGCCTTACCATGGTCCCCTTGGTGGATGAAAGACTGGAAAGGTTGGCATCAAACTGGGATGTTGCCATTCTTGTGCACAAGAAAGCACAGGATCTGATGTGATTGCACAGTAAAGGTTCCTACATACTGCCCAAGGTCAGAGACTGCATTCTCTTGGAAACTGGACACCTAAGGATCAGGAACCAGTGTGACAAGATTGTGCCCTGATGGCTCAGGCCCTTCAAGGTGACTCAGGTCATTTCCCTGGTAGCCTTCCAATTGGAACTCCTGCCAACTTGGAAAGTTCATCCTGTCTTCCATGCCTCTCAGATCTTCCCTTACATTGAAAACAAGACATGTGGTGCAGCACCTCCAGCACCACTTCTGGAACTTGTGGATGATGAAATAGAATGGGAGGTTGAGTCAATAATTAATCATAAGATAACCCCATTTGTCAAATACCCAGGAACCTGAAGAGCATATAAAGGATCATGCTTCTGAAGCTCTTGACCAGTACAAACTTGCTCATCACCTTCAAAATTAAATGGACTCCCCTCATTCTGTCAATACAGAAAATGACTATGCAGACCTCCCCCCCACTGAATCCCTTTATGATCCCTCAGCTGACTGGCCTGTGCTCCTCATCCCTCCCATCACTGTCTATGCACCATCCTCTCCCCTGATGACCACCTCCTGTGTTCCTGACTCATACCCCTTGTCCCCTGTCTTGAAGCCTAGGGGGACATTGCCCCCTGTTGCCCACTCTCTCCAACTGCATCCACATGCATCCTTTTTGGTCAGGAGAGTCCCCACTCCCAAGGCCAGAATCTCTGTTGGTGGAGATGGTAACCAATGGGGAAAGGGTAAGGCATGTGCTGACAATGACACTGGTGGTTGAGCAGCCAAGGCTGGTAGTCCTGATGCTCCTGAATCTCCCCATGTATGCACCACCTTTGCCACCTACTCTGACAGTGCACACCATGCAGCCCTTGATCTCCTTGCCTTGGCAGCCCTTGCCTGGGATGACGAGCTGTGATTACCAGTCTCAGCAAGTGACTACTTGGACATTGTTAGGGCACTTGATGTCTTCCATGACAGGGACAACATTGATGGGTGCTCACCAAACAAGTTAAGTATTTTGGGCTGCTGTCTGAGATCTACAGAGTGACAGACATAATTGGTCATGCTGTCTTGAAGATACACACCTGAAAACTTAGTGGAACCACACCCCTGTCCAAAGTCATAATGATCAACATGCTGGAACAGGGAACCTTGGAGGTTTTAGAAGCAGTCATGGGTGGTGCCTATCATCACCTTCTCCATCAACAGATCAGTGAGTTTCTTGCCCCACCCACTTCTTGCCTTCTTGATTGCATTCATCTGAAGCAAGAGGAATCATTGACTTTGGAAGGAAGGATTGGCAAACCCAAGATCTCGGAACAGGAAAAGGTGGATGCCTGGAAGGCCCTAGAGCTGAAGTACATCAATGGGGCAGCTTTATATAAAGAGGTTGGTGAATGACTGGGTACCAGGACTCACAACTCTGCTTGGGAGGTTCTGTTGCAGGATGCAGCTTGGGCAGGAATCCATAAACACTATCACAACACTGTCCATTCCTCCAACCCTCTCCCTGTGACTCCCTTCATCCCCATCCCTCTTGATCAACTTTGGTTCCATCTTGGAGGACAGGCCCCTGTTCCCACTGACCACATTCTCTATGCCCATGCATGCTTTCAATGCTGTTACCTGGGACATTGGTCATGCCAGAATAGACATGGCTCCCACTTTACTCCATTCCTTGAGGAACCACCATCTCCATTGCCTCCATTGCCTGTCGCTAGTTGAATGCATTCCTGTGTTTACACTACTCACTGACCCCTATCCACCCAACCCACTAACATGCCCACCTTGTCCTCATGGGTCTGAGGATCTTGGGGGGGGGTGATGTTATGCCCATGTCAGGGGTCCTTCCTTTTTTGACTCCTCATGGTCATGTGTGTCACATGCCTGCTTGTGTCCCTTGTAGTCATTGCCATCCTAGGGGTCTGGATGCTGCAAGGAGGACTTGGATCTCCAGCTGTCACAGTATTTCCAATACCCACTAATGCTGCACCCCTGGAAGATCTGGTGTTCCACCACCCACTCTGATGGATGACATGTTATGTTTCTTGTTTATGACTCATTTATATTACTCATATGTTGTTTCCTTGCTCTGGTGTCAGGCTCTTCACCACACATTGGTTGCACAGCCAGTATAGCCTTCATCCACTTCACTACCCCCATCATATGACACAGTATGACTCATTCTGACTTATCTATTTGACTGATTTGTTTGTTGATTACTGCAGATATGCATTGCAACATGTCTGTCGCAACTAGTATGGTACTCTTACTTACAGGTATATAAGTGTCAAGTACTTCCCCTGTATCCTCAGTTTTTCAATTACTTGCAACTCAGCTTCATCCCTTTGCTTTCATCCTTTCTCCCTCCTCCATTGTGATCTCAGAAGAACTCACCAGAAGGAGTGAACCTTTGTTGGACCTCAGCAATAACTGAGCCATAGGGGTTATGATAAGTTTGGCCCATAGTATTTTGGTCATCCTGCCAATGCAAATACTGTCTTGAGGTCTGCACTTGTCCATTATTGCAATAGTGCTCCTATGGATATTGAATGTAGGTCATCTGCCAGCAGTAGGTTTAATTAAATGAGCATTGATTTATCTAGATACAGGTGGTCCATCTGTTGATTTGACCATGCTTAATGCTCCCATCAACATTAATCTGTCTGTTGATTGTCCCACTGATGCAAATACCCTCTTGAGGTCCATGCTCACACATTATCATGAATTGTTCCATGGACATCAGATCAGTGCGAGCCACCTTCTCACTCAAACATTAGTATTCGATAGCCAGCCAAAGGCCATGAATGATCCACCCCCTGCTCTCCATCAGCAGCACTGTTCAGTTTTTCTTATGCATCAGGAGGCCATCATGAGCCTGATCAGGTTAGTAGATGGTGTGTACCCTCAAGACAGCATGGACCTGGATGTTTGAGAATCACAGAGGCACCTTTCCCAGGAGCTGGGCTCTTATTGCGAGCACTTGGATGCAATAGTTGATGACCAATGGGCAAAGCTGAAGGGAGAGCAGGGCTTGCAGTCATTTTCTGGGAGTCTGAACTTGATGTCTGACTCAAGTTACTCCACTGGTTAGTGCATTTTGTCACTTGGGATGAAATCATATAATGAATATCCAACAGACCTGCACATTGGCTTCCTTGATCATCTCAAAACTGCATCAGCACCTGTGTTGGCCTGTATAACTGTTGTTGTCATGCTTCACCTTCTGTCAAATATGCCACAAAATGCATCTAATTTCCTGTTGGATGCAGTTCAATTAATTGTGTTATCTGCCTGTGAATGGGCCATGACATCCCTTGGGGGAAACATCCCACTCCCACTGTTTTGTGACTCCTTGCAATTCCAGAGTTGGCCTCAGGACCTTTGGCTGGCTATCCATACCCTCAATTTAGACCCAGAGCTCAATATCTATGCTTGTTGCCCCAGCTGCTGTGCACTATACTTGTACAAGTACCAGGCTCAGACCCTTGATATCCCAGAGCAGTGCACTGCCAGGCAGACAACTGGAAGCCCAATCTGCAACACACCACTTTTGTATTGTTCTTCAAGTTCTACAGGAGATTCTGTGCCACACCAGACATTCAATTATCAGCCACTCAAAAGCCAGCTTGCCTGTCCACTTTCACAACCAGGCATTGAACAGTCCATGGAAACCACCACAGCTGGCCATCCTGATTCATTCATCTCCCAACTGGTGTGCCCTTGGAAACATGGACCTGTCTGTGATGTTTGGGATGGTGAGGCATTCCAATCCTTTAAGGGTCCTGATGGGAAGCCCTGGTTAGATGCTGTCTCTGGGGAAGCTCGACTTGTGTTTAGCCTATTCATTGACTGGTTCAATCCCTATGGAAATCAAATTTCTGGAAAGGCCAAATCTGTTGGTGCCATCTACATGGTTTGCATGAATTTACCCATCCATCTTCATTACCACCCAGAGAATGTCTACCTTGTGGGGATCATACCAGGTCCCAAAGCCCCTCCATTACATCATCTTAATCATTTCATTGGCCCTCTTGTTGATGAACTCCTGCAGTTTTGGCACTCTGGGATCTGGTTCACCAGGACTGCTGACTATGCCATGGGATGCTTGGTTTGTGCAGCTGTCATTCCCCTTGTATGTGATCTGCCAGCACTTGCAAAAGCAGCTGGATTTGCCAGTTATAGCAGTTCTGAGGGTTGGTGTCCCTTCTGCTGGATATCCAAGGATGACTTGGCAAACTTTAACACTGGGTCCTGGAAACAACAAACCTGGGAGGAACATCTGACACATGCTCTGCAATGGCTCCATGCACCAACTGAAGCTGCTTGAGAGAGCTTGTGGAAACTCTACCAAACCTGATGGTCTGAGCTGCTTTGACTACCATACTGGGACCCCATTCACTTTTCTGTCTTGGATGCAACACACAACCTCTTCTTGAATGAACTCCCACATCATTGCCAGGAGGTCTGGGGAATGAATGCTGAGAAGAAGGCCAGTGCAGCTGCTCCCCCTCATGACCCAGAGAGGCAGCAAGTTGAACTTCAGAGGGGTGTTGATGCAATCAAAGCCTTGTCTAGGACAGCACTCAGTCGTCTCTGCAGGGGATACATAGTTGCTCTTGCACAGGCAAATAATCTACAGCTCCCTCCAGCTTCTTCAGGAAAGAAAGACTATGCAGATGCCTTGATTAATTGGGTATGTTGACTTTTCATGCAAGCTGGTCAAAAAACTAATATGGTTTGATTCTAGTATAAACATAACTCTAACAGTGAAATCCAAGTCCCTGCTGTTTATCCACATCCTATTGTTGATCTTGCAGAAGCATGGGCAAGGGGGAGTTCAAAGACCATTGTATTGGGTCAAGAAATTCTAACAGAAGTATGGGCTGACATGGCAACTACCACTCTGCCATCATGGATGACAAGGCCTCCTCACAACTTGGGTAGTCCTGGGCATGGGAAACTCAAAGCAGATCAGTGGAGAAGTGCATGCCTTGTTCATCTTGTTATCACCCTTGTCTGCCTCTGGGGCCATTTTCCTGTGGGAAGTCAGGAGAAATCCATGCTGGACAGCTACATTGCACTTGTCATTGCTGTCCAGTGGGCTACTAGGAGGTCAACATCTGATGACCATGTGGAAATTGTTAACCCCTACCTTCATTACTACCTCACATCATTGGTGGAGTTGTATACAACAGAAGTACTCCAGCCTTCCCATCATTTATCACTTCACCTATCTCAGTGCATCCAGCTCTTTGGACCTGTCCATGGATGGTGGTCTTTTCCTTTTGAACATTTCAATGGTATTATTCAACAGTACCATACAAATAATGAATTGGTAAGTCCTGGTTGCTTTAGAATTACTATTTAACTAAATGAAATCTACCAGGTGAACTAGAGTCAACATTCATGAAAGCCTTTTGCCAAGGTGGGAATCTTCATGCACTGCTTCAACACCAGTCAAGGCTCCCTCAGGTATTGGATGCACTGAAGCCCCTGATCCATAAACACTATGGTGATATGTGTTCAACAGTACACTCACCAGTGATCTAGCAGCCTTGGCCAAACCTGCAAATCTGTTAGTTCCAGAAACTGGAGGATTGGACCATCCCAAGACCCTTCCCAATGACATCTATGAACTCCTGCTTGCCTGACTCAATTGTGATGCCACTGCATTGCCCTTCTTATCCTATCAAACAAGTGCAACCAAGCCAGGTCATGTACTTGATCCCTCTGTCAATTACTGCAAGGAAATTGAACTCCATGGGGTCAAGTTTGTGGCATCAGTAAAGCAGAGAAAAGGCAGCTCCATTGTCCTTTTTGAAGTGCCTGATTGTGACAAACCAAAGGCTGGCCAAATTACTGGGCTCTTATATCATTCTCACATCAACCAAGGGACCTACATTACAGAGTGCTTTGCAGAAGTCCTCCAGTTTTTGGATCTTTCATCTCTGGAATATAGTCATGACCCATACTGTCAATACCCACTCCTGGAAGTGCAGTTATACCACACCCAGACCTGTGTTAGGGTCATCAAGGCATCAGACATTATCTGTCATGCTGCAGTCACACCTTTCAAGTCTCCACAAGTGCAGGAGGGTGCATATCAAGTTGTTCTATCACTTAACAGGGTGAGTTTGCTTCTCACTTACTGCAGAACATTATAATTTCTGATGTATTGGTAGGGTTAGTAATTGAAGAAAGCACCTGTACATACAAATTCATGTCAATGATATGGTCTCATTGAACAGGAGCTGGTTCATCCTGTGAAAATTGACAGTTTCCACTCGAAAAGCCATGCCAGTCAATAGACATCATGTTAACAGTTCAAGGCTTACAATCCACCAGTCTCCAAAAGGTTCATACAACCTGTGCACTTCACAGGTGCCCCATGTCCTCTATGGAAAACCCTGGCTCCTGCAGTACCTAATTGTCACACTCCATTCAGCCATCTCATGGATGAAACAGGGTCCATCTGATGTACTTCCACCATATGCTTGGACAGCCAGGTAGGCACCCATTGTGCCAGTAATACACTTGCCATTATAAGTCCTTCCACCATCAGCAACTGAGCAATGACTTGGGGATGTGAGGTTGTGCCTCAGATGATGATACTGTGGATGAAAATGACTGATTGGATGTCGGATAACTGCTGGAGATGCAGGAGCATGTGAGATGGCATGAAACTGGGGCACATGATCATCAGGGATGCCAAGTTGTTCTGATGTTTTGGTGGGATGATGGTCATGGAAGGATGAAGCTAGATCACAGACATTAAATAGTGCAGTAATGATAGATATGAATTGTCTTACTGATGATGAAAAATGCCCACTACACAAGAATTGATGGTGGGTTGCACCTCAGGTGATACCATAGATGAAAATGAGTGGTTAGATGTCAGAGCAGGAGTTCCTTGGGGTAGAGAGGCAGACATTGGGGGAATAACTGCTGGAGATGCAGGAGTGTGTGAGATGGCATGAAACTGGGGCACATGATCATAAGGGGTGCCAAGTTGTTCTCACATTTTGGTGGGTGTAATTGGATGACAGTTGCAGACAGGTGAAGCTAGATCACAGATGTTGAATAGTGTGGTAATGATAGATATGAATTGTCTGACTGATGATGAACCATGCCACTATGCGAGAATCAATGGTTACCATCAATCAAACTGCCCACTCAGGGAACAATGAGGACTTGAAATGATTTGTGTCTACAAGCACTGCTTTGGGAACAATGGTCATGGCAAGTAGTGCACCATCATTTGTCAAGCATGCTGGCCCCATTCACATGATATATGGAGCAAGGATCCTTTCCAAGATATTGAGAGTCTGCAAGAAGATGACTCTGGATGGTTGTATCACAAGCAAGGCATAGCCAAGGAGCAAGAGGACAGGAATGAAAAGGAACAGGACAGGGACCAGATGGGAGGAGTCAATATGAGTGGGTTAGAAGAGGTGGGGGAAGGGTATACTAATGATCAGGAGGAAGTTGACCTCACTTCATTCACTTTTGATGGATCATTGGTGGCTGTGATTTGTATGGCCACTTGCTCAGGACGAGGAAGTGGCAGTCGCAGAGGATCAGGCTGGACCCCCCCTTTGTAACTGTTTGTAAGCCACCCTCATTGACAATATCTATGGCCCCCTGATTGGCACTGAAGAGAATGAGTGTTACCCCCATATCCATGATGAAAGACCCACACCATGATAAGTTCTGCATGCCAGCACAGAAGATCAGACATTGGTGGTCTGTAAGCTTCTCTGACAGGAAATGAGATGGAGCCATCAGAGGTCTCAGAACCAAGCCACATGAGAGTGATGACAATGTTGGGACAATTATCATGACAACCATGACATCACTTGATCCTAGTGAATCTTCATCTGGCTGCTCACTTTCTGCTAGGATGAAATGACTGGCAGAAATGATGCATAAGCTTGAGATTACAGGTAAGCCATTGTTTTCTGCAGCTAAGTCAACATGATGTTCACCAAGGTACATGTCAGAGCAGGAGTTCCTTGGAGTAGCAAGGCAGACCCTGGGGGAAAACTCACCAGAGATGTAGGAGTGTGTGAGATGGCATGAAACTGGGGCACATGATCATCAGGGGTGTCAAGTTGTTTTGTCATTTTGGTGGGTGTAATGGGACAACAGTCATGGAAGGATGATGCTAGATTGCAGATGTTGAATAGTGTGGTAATGATAGATATTGTTCATGCATACTCAAATTGTCCAACTGATGTCAAACCATGCCCACTACACAAGAATCAACAGTAGGTTGTGCCTCAGACAATACTGTAGATGAAAATGACTGGTTGGATGTCAGAGCAGGAGTTCCTTAGGGTAGAGAGGCAGATGTTGGGGGAATAACCACTGGAGATACAGGAGTGTGTGAGATGGTGCAAAACTGAGGGATATGGCCATATGCTGGTCATGGGACATGCTCAGGCATATGATCTCATCAACATTATGGCACAGGCAACATGTACATTGACTTCCACCATCAACAACTGAGCAATGGTGGAAAATGTCTGACTGATGCTCCTGATTGACATAGTTGTATACCTAAAGGGTATTGGTTGATACCACCTACACAACGAATCTTATTCACACACCTTCATAATGTCCCTCCATACAATATTTGTCTAAACATTCCACTGGGCTTGTTCCAAGGTTTCTATACATTTGGTCATGCTGTTGCTGTCGATTTTTTGTCCTTCCTCCGCTGGTGATGCCAGGCGAGAGGTTATATCGCCCTCCAGCACCTGATAAGAGAAAACCAGCAGACCAGCAGAAGAGGTGCTAAGGAATGTGGTGGTGGCTCATTATTGAGAATGCATTTGAGGGATATGCCAGATGGCAGAATAAAAACTGAAGACTCAATGGAAGACAATCATTCCCTCTTGACTATTAGCAGCACAAATTCCTGGCAAGCACAAACAGGACTTGGCTAGGCAAGATTGCTGACAACTGCAATTGCAATTGATTATCCCAAGATGGTCATTAGATGCTACATATCCAAAAACAATCTGAGCTTCAACCTAGTAGCTGGTATATTCCTTCCACAACCCTACCCCAACTTGTAGCAACCCTGCAATGTACCCCATACCTAATGCCACAACTAGTAGTAGGTAGATGGCCATCCCTTGTGCATTGAATGGTCTGCATTGAACGTATCTCAGTCCCATACACATGAAGTCGGTGATTGATTTTGAGGTGGTTGGCTCCACTGCAGAGCCCAGGGACCAGAGTTTCAGCACCAGCAGTGACTTAGGGTCAGTAGTTGCACTGGCAATGTAATGCTGGCCAACTCTGGGAGAATAATACTACACACATATAAATAACAGAGTGCTAATCCCTCTCAATATGGAGACACTCACTGCCACTGTCTGGACCAGCTGAGTGCCTGAAAGCATTAGTAAAAACCTGCTTAGCTTCCTGTATTGAATGGGACAACTTACTCGCACCATGATGAAGGATGCATCACTGATTCCCAGACATAACTTCATGAAGCTGAATCTCCCCATTATCTGTGCCATTGATTGCAATCTCTCCATGCCACCCTAATGCTACCTGCTTTGGATTATTGCACCTGATCTTGACATGGAGGTTGTGAATAAGAACAGGCTGAGAATTTTCCATCATGCAATATATGTCAATGCTGTCATGTAAGTTCCAAACCAAAAGATGTCTGGTCTCTGAAGACCATGCAGTATGATTACTATGGAAGGGAAGGGTAAGCTGAGGTACATGGCAATGCCATTAGGAGTAAACAGACATTCTTGCCAGTAGCTTGGACCACCACAACTCATTCCCATGCTGGCAAGCCCCACGCAATGCTATAGTGGAGGGAAATGAAGAATATTCATAAAGTACTATACAACTTACATGTCTTTGGAGTCCAAGAACACAATAAAGACAGCCTTTCCATCTTTGAAGAAATGCACTCATCTAGGAACTGACTTGCATGGAGGTAAACATGCCAGAGGTTCCCAAGCCATGGGTTGAAAGGGGTCTAAATGAATCACCAGTCACCAGTAGGCATTATTATTTATCCAAATAGTGAACATACCTATGTCACATTGTATGTCCAGGCCAAGAACAACAATACAACCTCTTGCAACTGCAGCAACCCTTCAAGTACTGTCATGAACTGCAATATCCTCAACACAAGCTTCTGACAAAGTAAACATTCCAGCCTTAAAGAAAATGTTCTTTGAAAAGAAATTCAGTTTCACACTTGGAACAGAATGGTGTGGAATATACCCCTTTGTCTGGTTTCTTCCAAAGCCAAAGTGTTCCATCTGCACCACCTGATATAAGGAAGCAAGAATTGTAGTCTGTAGCATCGCAGTACCATCAGATGACTGTTATGGGCCCTTGCCTAGCACTTATGGATTGTACCTGCTTCCCAGTTTGCATGTTCCAAATAATGACATGGCCATCATTACCTGCTCTGCATGTTCAGATACAGGTAAAAGGGGATCATTAATTTCCAATCCTTACTGCCACTTGCAAGGTATGGGGCATTGTCAGAGAATGCAATGGTGTGTATGGACCTATTGTGTCCTTCACTGGTCCAGAGAAGCTTGGTATGAGGGGTCTCCATCAAAGTCTTATGGATTAGTGAAGTTACTTACTTGAAGAACATCTTGGACAAAGGCTTTTCAATTATGTAAGATACTTTGACTCGAAGCACCCTGGTTCACCTGCCACAGTGATGCATTATGACTGCTACTTTCCTCCAGTTACTGATACACAGGTCTTCAATGCAGAATGCAGTCCAAGTCCATGGGAAGATGAAGCAAAATTAATGTCAGAGCAGATTTTTGGCTTTGAATTGCCCATCAGTCTGTCATCTCCAGATGGAGGTATAAACTCTAGACATCAGAGGCCAGAGGATGGGGACAAAGCAACCACTGCCAAGACAATGCCAGTGCTTCCTAACTTTGTCTACCAGAGTCCATTGGAAGGTTGGTACTGATAATGGTGACATGAATTGACCATTGGCTTGAATTTTAAATATGTTAGGTCTTGCTCTCATCCCTTGTCCTCCTGGACTGATGTCAAAGCCAGGCCTAGGTGGGTGGTCTCTGAGGGAAATGTTGGGCTGGTCTGATAGTACCTACAACAAAGTCCAGGTTGAGATCACATTTACACTTTTCTGGTAACATGGTAACACCAACTGAGATTCTGTCATTTAGGATGATGTACATGTGCTTTGCAAGCAGTTTTTTGACCTGACAAAACCATACAGCCAGCAGGATCCCAAGGCTATAGTGAGATATTCATTGGCAGTGGGTCACACAAGCTGTTTAGTTCGCTTCCATGATGCTAACACCTTGCATGGAAGGCTCATGAAAAGTTTCCTGAAATGGTGCATTATGTCTCCCTCTGGCCTGCAGAATCCTTCGCCACCATGTATCTCAAGAACATGGCATTTGAAATGCACAGGAAAGTTTTTTCAGGGAAAGGAGAGTGCCCTTCATCACAGGTCAATGAGTAGATGTGACACTTTCTTCATATGTACAAAATGTGCTCTGCCTCTATGGGAATGTCAATCTGATCCTGCATGTGTCACAGGAATTCTAGTAGAAGCTTGTGCAGTTTGATTGGCAGACCCATATGAGCTGTTACAGTAATGAGGTTTAAAGAATGTGAGACACATTGAAGAAATGAATGTATAACAAATGTGTCATTCACCAAGAAATGCCAAGGGCGAGAGAAAGCAGATTTGGGTGTCAGAGCAACAAGCATGATGTCCTGTGCTGACTTGAGCATGAAATCAGCAGGCAGGACAAAACCTTTGTATGTCATCACTGACTGTAATGGGGGTTAAAGACTATTTGCAAAGTCATCAGAGATAGTGATGTGGGAATGACGGGTAACACACAAGAATGAGTGCCCAAGCACCTTTCAAAGCAAGAACTAGAATGAATGTGATCACAATGATCTTAATAGTCCCCAGATGATCTGCTTTGTCCAAGTTGAAAAGCTACATCCCTGCCATGAAATACAGTACTCTATGGCTGCAAAATGACCCACCTGTCCAAAAGCACATTTGATTTCCATGTCTGTTTTTGCCTTCCAGAGTTTGATGGTCATGCACATGCCATGTCCAGCAGCAGATGTTGCTAAGAAATTGTAATTCCTGCCCTGGAAACTACACAGCACCTGGACCATGACACCTACAGAATAAGCAGTTGCTATGAGGTACATTAGAGGATTGGACATACTTCTGTGATGAAGAGCTTGGACTTGTGTTCCCATTCTCATGCACCACACCTGTACCTTACCATCAGTAGCTCCACTGACCACCTTTTGACCACAATCAACAAAATTGATAGCACATGGATAATTTCCATTAGAAGAGTCGCATGGGAATGGAAATGATAAGGATATGACAGAGTGGCCCACAGGATACAGGTCCAGGCCAGTCATTAGATTGGATATCAAGATGTGTGTCTTGTCTGGCGATAGTGCCACACTCCCTCTGTAACCTTGATTGTCAGTTTGATTCCAGATGAATAAAACAAGGACTAACATATGCTGATGCATGTGAGCAGGACAGATTTGCCAAAGCAATTGTGATTTCTGGATGCCCAGCAGCTTGATGGAATATTAGAGGATGCTAACAGTGAGATATTCTGATGACATACATCACTCTGTGATTTAGGTAGGCCACAACAACTTGATTCTTGCCTTTGAGGAAGTGTGCAGATCTTGGCCAGATATGTATGTCTGCCTCTGTTTGACATGCATCGAGCTCTTCCAGTGCAGGAAGGAGGATTACTGTCATATATATGTCTATCATTCAGAAAAGAGCTGTTACTGGTCAGTCCTTGTGACAACTGTAAGTCTACCTTTGTTCAGCTCTTGTGCAATGTGGACTTTGCAGCCTACTCCTATTGTGAGGTCCCCAGAAGAAGGGTTCATGTCTAGGCAATGAACAGGCACCATGATCCTCTTCTGGATGTCTTGTGTGTTGTCCAGGTTCTGGGTCACCATGATTCAGTACAAGTGGTACACTTCCATTGAAAGGGTAAAAAGATATCCCCTCACATTCAGTGCTGGTACAAGGGCCAATTTTCTGTCTTCACACCTGAAGATGAGTCTCAAAGAATGGGAAGAATGGACATCTCACTGCAGGCAAAGTACTGGACTTTGAAGGGACACCCTCTGTGTCATCACTCTCATGTGGATGTCCCAAATAATGAGCTGTAAATCTTTGCCACCACTGGCAAGATACTTGCCACATGGAGAAAAGGAGAGGCATGTAACAGAGTCAGTGTGTCCATCAGCCAGAGCCCTGGCTGGTTGGTATGCATTAGTAGTTGAGTTGCTGGTCATGGTCATGAATAAAAGAATATTGAAGAATGCAAGTGTCAAAACATGGCATCCATTAAGTGCCATTCAATGCTTTGTCTCTCTTTGAGGTTATGAATCCTTATGGGTGACATTCGAAGCCCAAATCTCGAGTTCAAAATACAACTCATTGACAGTTATATTCCAAAATTTCTATTGAGGAGAATTGGTAAATGGGTACACATTTGTCTCGTCTATCTTCAGTAATCTATGCTCCTCCACATGGAGAGAGTCATACCAACCCCTATTGTAACAATCAATGGGTAATCCCATTGGCACTTTGGCATTCATGCTCATCTTTGGGGGATCAGGGTGGATACAGAATCATGGTGCATTACCCCACAATCCAATATGACCTGCCTTCACCATTCAGTGGGCAGCATGGGAATCATCAATTTGCTGATACAGAGCAGCCAAAGTGGCACTTCTCCAGGGTGGAGTTGATACAATGCAAGTGCACTGTTCAAGAGGCCCTTCTCCTTTGTCTGAGCTGATACCTTTTATCCCAATGTGTTTGAGTAGTGAGACATGCCTACATATGCTGGCATCATCTTTTGCCATCGCAATACATGCCTGAAACAACTGTGGTATAGGTGAAACAAGGCCTTAGCCAGAGTCAGTGACATAGATAAAGTGAACCTGCCTGTCACTTTCAGGTGGTACTAGCTGTGGTGACTAGACACCTTTGTTTCTTGGAATATCCACTGTGGAGTTCATCATAGATTTTCCAAAGATGCTTCAATTGCCTGTTCAGCATGAATATGACATAGTCCATATTCAAGAACTTTTCTGGAATGGGGGGGTAGTTGTACCATTTGTGGTTGACAACTTTATCAATAAAATCAGCAGCTGCAACAGCCTTGGCACAGTTGTTAAAGGTGGATGTCCACTTTCCAATAAGATCAAAATGGAAATTCTTGGAGGTTATTTCAGTGCAACCAGACAGCTTCTTGTCGAAGGCTCTAATGTCATCTCATGTGTGTGGGGGGGGGGGGGGGTACTGTGTCCAGAAGTTGCAACATTGATTCAATTTTGAGGAGGACTTGTAAGTGCTTGCAAAGGTGTTGCTGGACATGGGAATCAGTTACCAAAATCAAGATGAAGCAGATGGAGCTCTGACCCAAAAGATTACTCTGAGGGGATCCTTTGCGAAGGGATCAAATCTGGTGCCTCCCTCATCATCCAATGACTTTTCATTTGACACCTCATCATCAGCTTCACTATTGTGTATGTTAGTGCCAGGTGACTTCCATTTATGGCACTTGGTGTTCATTGCAATGTTTTGATGTACAATTACCAGTCTACTAACTCTTCACAAATGGCAGCAAATTCTGCTCTAAGGTTTTCTTCAAGGGTCTTAAATGCATGAGAAACAACACTGAGAAAGGGCCCCTTTTGATCAAGTTTGTCCAATGCTGGCTGCCTCAAAGAAGGGTGAATGCCTTCCATGGATGTCAACCCTAGAGTGGAACCAAAATGCCCATGAATGGAACTCTGTGAAGGAAATGGCACTGGGTTACAGTGACTGGAGTGGCTGCTCACAGAACTTGCAGGCACAGCTGTTGGCCCTGGTATGGGACCAGATTGTCCATGAGCAGAACTCTGCAAGGGCAAGGGCTGTGGGTGTTGGAGTGTTTGCTCACAGAATTTGCAGTTTGAATTCCTGTAGGATGTTAGAGGGTTGACAAAACTGTCATAAACAGTGGGAACAGATACCTTGCACAGGTGTTGGCCCTGATACAGAGCTAGATTGACCATGGACAGAACTCTGTGAAGGCAATGGCAGTGGATGACTGGAGTGTCCACTCATGGAACTTGTAGCTTGAATTCCTGTATGACATTAGAGGTCAACAAAAGTGACACAAACAGTAGCAACAGATACCTTGCACAGCTGTCAGCCCTGGTACAGGGCAAGACTGACCATGAATGGAACTCTGTGATGGCAATGGCAGTGGATGACTGGAGTGTCTGCTCATGGAACTTGCAGTTTGAATTCCTGGGAGATGTTAAAGGTCAACAAAAGTGACACAAATGGTAGGTGCAGATACCTTGCACAGGTGTTGGCCCTCATACAGGGCCAGACTGACCATGAACAGAACTCTGCAAGGGCAATTGTGGCAGATGACTGGAGTGTCCACTCATGGAACTTGTAGCTTGAATTCCTATAAGACATTAGTGTCAATAAAAGTGATATAAACAGTAGATGCAGATACCTTGCACAGGTGTCAGCCCTGGTATGGGATTGGACTTTCCATGAACAGAACTCTGTGAAGGAGACAGTGGCGAGTGACTGGAGTGTCTGCTCATGGAACTTGCAGCTTGAATTCCTGGGAGACATTAAAGGTCAACAAAAGTGATGTAAACAATAGGTGCAGATACCTTGCACAGGTGTTGGCTCTAGTACAGGACCAGACTGTGCACTGATGGAATTCTGCAAAGGTCTTGATTGGGGGTAACCAGAGTGTCCACCCATGGAACTTGCCAAGAGAAGTGTGGGGGATGCTGTAAATGTGGCATGCATATGGGGAGGGTTAATGGCAGAAGTGCTGGCTTCTGAGGGAATGATGGAGGGTGCCAATGTCACATGCACATGAGGAGGGTTGGTGACAGGAACCACATGGTGTGAGAGAGCTGCTGAGGATGCTGCAGATGTGGTGCATGCACTGGGAATGTTGACATAAGAGGATGAGTTAGCATGCATCACAACTGCAGAACTGCTCAATGGTGAGGGAGGCATGGAGGATGCTGCAGGTGCAACACTGTCAGTACTGGCACCATCAAAGGACCAAGTTTGTGTTTGCTGTATAAAGGCAGGGGGAGCTTCCTGGTTTCGATTATGCATAAATGTGAAGTTGAAATTAGGAGGCATAATTGGCACTGGATGGCTGGAAGTGTTTAGACCTCTGTTGAGGAAGTCTGACATACTTTCCCCAGGACATTGGAGAGGTATCCCATTTTCCTGGGGTGACAATGTTAGGGTGGATATATTGAAGGAGATTTAAAGATACTTGCATACATTCCCTGTCACCTGCCACATCAACATCCATTGAAAGATCTCCCATATCACCACCATACAAGGGCTGTCCACTAGACCTCTGACACAAGGTGTTAACAGAAATATGTGATACAGTTTAAACTAACCTGTTGCTTCCAAAGGTGAAAATGGTCATTTAGCCAGGTCACCCAGTGCCCCTACATATCAATTAGCTAATTGTGCTATTCGAAGAAGCCAGACTTACTAACTTTATGTCTCTTAACCTGCAGCACCTGCAGGGTGGTCATCATCTTTGCTTCCTGGTGGCATCACTTTGCTTCAGGAGGTGGTTCTGGATTCTCTAGAGCCTGTTTTCCAGGCATAGGAAGGCCACAACATTCATCAGTGTGCTTGCCAGAGGCATCACTGGAGTCAACATCCAAGCCTGTTGTCACCATAGCCAGAGAAAATGGGACAGAGAATAATCTGTAATCATACCTTTGTAATATATGTAGTCACAGGGAGTGGCTCTTCAGAGACAAAGGAGACCTTTAACAAAGAATCATCAAAATTAGCAGAAGATGGATGCCAGCACACAGAGTATGTCTCACAGATCTCACTTGACAGTAACAAAGACAATTGGATGGATGGCAGGTTGCCTCATATGATTGTATGGCAGGTGGGGGGATCCAGTATTGCTTCTTACAATTGTGAAGTTGAGGGGGCTGTCATCATACTTAGCATGCTTGTATGTCAGATAACAGATCAGACCACAGAAATCCCATCTAAATCTTGCACTGAAGGACTGGAATGCAGGCAAAACCAGAATGACAACTCATGAGGAAATGAGGGCAGGGCACCAAATCAAAGATGACTCAAGCAGGAAAGGGCTGACATAAGCAATCTACTAGCATCTAATGGCACTCTGGGGTATACAAAGGTATGTAGGTTATCAGTAAATGCACCAAAAACTTGGAGTCACTAAAGAGAAAAAAAGTAGCACTTAATGGTATTAGAAAATTATTCAAGCACTATGTAGAACAGTTAGTTTTCAGTATAAAACTGGCAGAACAGAGGGACAGGAGAACTGCTCCCAGGATTGGACTAGCACATTGTGGGTGAAGAGGCTTGCATGTTGATGCTGTTGATCATCCCCACCACAGAGAGAGTGGTAGCAGAACACCCAGTAAGCCACAGGGTCACTAAAATGGACATGGTAGAGAAATCTGTTGATGAGTATAATCATGTGCTCCTGGGATCACATTGATAAAAAGGTCATTCCAAAATCTAATGATGATTGACAGGGGACTCACAAAATCATGTGAGGTTGTAAGAAGGGTACTTTCCTTGACCAAACATTGGACAAATATAAGGCCATCAGTCTTCAAAAGGAACCAGGCTGAACAGTTGAATGTTTGAGTAACAGAATGCAGAACACAGCATAATGGGAACAACTCATGTTGTCCAGGAGTTTCTGATGCAACAAGCATGAGTGATGCATGGCATACTCCACCATGAGCAATGCCTGTGGAAATGCCAGTGTAACTGGTCACAAAGAGGATGGGGGCACTGGGTAAAGCAAAATTCAGTTTGGGTATGAGACAGGGAAGAATTCTGACTGACAAATCAAGTGGGTTGCTGAATGGGAAAGGAGTAGCCATGGGGAATGCAAATTGCATCAAGAATGACAGTACCTGCAACTGATCATAAGACATGACCAGTGACCATTAAATAATGAGCAGAGGTGCCATTATCCAAGCACCTCCAGTCTCTTTCAGTTGGCTATCTCTAACAAAGCAGACATCAAAATAGATCAAATGATACCTTGTGTGTGTTGAGCATGAATGTTTAGCTTGCATCATGCCTCAGAGACTCAAAAGTTTGGAGCTGTTCAGAGCATAAGCACTCTGCTGCCTTTGAACACTTCAAGCAACCTGTCAATGTGTGACTTCATAAAGTATGTCTATATACTTCCTGTCCACATAGAAATCATGCTCACAAAGAACCCACTGATCAGTCTGGATGATGAATATCTGGCTAGAGGCCTCACCCTGAGGCCATATCCATTCGATTTCCCATTTCTTTGTTCTGTCTACATCTGCCCAGCTATGCCTGCCACCTGCCCATCACCTACCTGCAACTTGCACACTTCTCCATACTTGTTGTGTCCCAGGACTACCCCCCCAGCCAGCCTTTGCCAAGCCTTCCTCCTAACCCCACCATCTGTGACACATAAATGTCACAGAAAGGGTTTGAATGAGCTCACCAAAGCTTGTCAGGTAATATGATGTTTCCATTGATGCTGCAGTGCTCCATTGAATATGTGCATTAATAGGAAGTTGAATGCCTTACAGTGGAAGTCAATAAAGCAAAGGCAAGCATTGGGGAAACTCAGGAGAACCTTGACCACCTCAAGTGAGTTGCCAATCAGGTCAGTCCAATCCATGCCAACAGCTGTTGGTCCCTGATACTCACCCTGATTGACTGCAGTTCAGTATTCACAGAAGCATGGTACTCAAGTGTCCCCTTTGCAGTGACACCATGCAGTGACCATTCATGTATGTGTTAGTCTTTGCCTTTGGCTTTACCATCATGCTAACTGTGATCATGCAGGCTGGGTAAATGTGGGCATACATTCTGTCATACTTGCCTTCAGTCTTCATTCCAGCAGTCCATTGCTAATGCCATGAGGAATTATGGTGACATCACCATTCTGGAATACCTCAAGAACCCTTTGTACTCAGTTGGTGACATCAACACTATATTCATGCATAAATATGTCTTGTATGTCTTTTATACCTGTCCTGTATGTGGGACCCACATTACAGACAAACCCACTGAAACCTGGATGCTCTGGGAACTCATTGAGGGCATCAATTCTGCCTTTGGCAGTTCAGAGGAACCAACCGATGACAACAGCATTCAGTTTCTGCAGGATATATGGGCTGATTGTTGGTTTGACAAACATGAGCTTATCACCATCAATGGTTAGATACTTTTTGCACATCCCTATGTAATTCTCAACCATAAATGCATTTGTCATGAATGGTATCAAAATAAGACATGAACACCTCCAGATGCATAAGAAAGGCTGAACAGTGCAGCTGAGAAGGCAGCTTGCACCGATCCAATGTGCATGGAACAATTCATGATAATGTGTGAGTGCAGACCTCGAGAGGGTATTTGTGTCGGCAGGATGATCAATGGACAGATTGACATCAATGGGAGTGTTAAGGATGGTTGAATCGATGGATGGACCACCTGTATCTAGATAAATCAATGCTCATTTAATTAAACCTACTGCTGGAAGATGACCTACATTCAACATCCATAGGAGTGTTATTGCAATGACATGTGAGTGCAGACATCAAGAGGGTATTTGTGTCAGCAGGATGATCAACAGACAGATTAATGTCAATGGGAACACCAGGGACAGTTGATGAATTGGTCCTAGATGTGACCTGCTGAGGTGCTTGGAGGGTATTCACAATGATAGAATGATCAATGGACAGACCACCTGGATTTAGATAAATCAAAGCTCATTTAATGAAATGCACTGCTGGAGGACAAACCACATTCAACATCCATAGAAGCAGTGTCAAGGATGGTTGATGAGTTGGTCCTGGATGCTACAGTAGCATCTAACTGCAGCATTTTAAGGGATGCCAATAAAATCCTTCTTTCCACACCCTCATTTTCCATGGATTTGTGATGTTGCTGTGACAGATCTTTGTTGCATTGATGGCAAGCATGAGTAGATGGTTTCAACAGAACACCCAAGATGGATACATTTGTCAGAGGATCTCATGAGTGGCACCTGCAGCAACCATGAACACAGCACCAACAAATCTTGTACTGTTGTTGCCTGGCCATGATTGCACTGTAACAAGATACTCAGTACCACAGATGCTAAGGTGAGTTGTTTAATCAATAACACAGCAAAATGAAACCTATTGCAGCAATTTCCTTTTTTGTAAGGTGCTCATTCAAATGCTGAGGGTGCCAGTGGTGTCTGTCCCTACACAAGATATCGATATCACTGGGGATCAACAGTATGGTAGACTATTTCACTGCTCCACCATTGTCATTTGAATGATTGACCATCCATGGCAGGATTACCCCAGTGATCACTCACCATATATGAGGGTGTTGGGCAGCAACTGCATTGGAATCTGCTGTGATAGCCTTGAGCCCAAAATGAATCGCACCCTTAGCCCCCATTCAACTGACTCCAGTCCATGCACAGGGCACAAGAAAGGTAAATCTGGCTCTGGACATCTTCCCATTCTAAGCCATTGACTTCTTCCAACTATCCACATTCTCACAAGTCCCTGGTCTCTGCCTCCTTTTCAACCCAATTTAATTGTAAACACCATCACTGCAGGTACTTCTTCACTGCTCACATCTCCCTTATACAATGTGCCACCAACTGCCTTGTCAGTGAACTGACTTCCAAAACCTCTCCAAGCTTGATCTAACCAAACAGTTCACAGACTTCTGTCATCATATCCTTGTTACTTGGGTCAATCTTGTCATGCCAGTCAGTGTCCTTGACCTTGTCGGGCATGGAGTACCAAATGGCAGACACTCTCCCCATTATGCTATGGGAATGTGCATTCTCCAAGTCGGATGTCCACTGCCAGAGTGGTGGTAACATCAATGGTAAAGTTGTCAGTGAAGAACATGATAATGATTCTTATCAATCAGTCCAGCAGCCCACATCCTTCTATGTATGACCTCAATAATCATCTGGGCAAAATAATAGTGTTTATTGCACATGAACAGTGAGAGCATGTATTCCAGGGGAATGTATCATTTCAACTCAGGTGTAAATGTAAACAACATGAATATGTGCATGTATGTCTGCTGCTCAATACACCTGCCTACTGAACCTCACACTTCTGTTTACCCCTGTACATTGTAGCAGTCTTTCTTGTGATTCAACTTGGCTCCTCCCACATTTGTAGCCACAACCTACACCCAGGCAGAACAGGGTGAGCTTTGCCTTCTTTGGCAGGTTCCCATGGTACCAGTACTTTACATCTATAGCTGCCACATTTATTTGGAAGAAGTAATCATCAACTCTTGCTAGGGGCTTGTCCTGAGGAAAGGATGTGTGATGAATGGGTGATACCTTATGCAAAAAAGCTAAGCACCGGAATAGTCTGGATCAGTAAAACCTACCTCTATTGCACATTTCACAGGCAAATGATAGGGAGCTGCAGCCTGGCAGGAGTTTCCACTTATGTGACTGGAAGGGACCTTCATGGTGGCACACAGGAAAGAAGACAGTGGGCAAAACTGTTGCATATAAATGGCAGGGAGCTGCTACTGATGAGATGAAAGGAGAAAGGCCTTTATTGCTTTGTCAATGATAGTGGACATGGCACCATACTGACCATTTCCAGACAATGACAATGGTGGGTGCCAGTGAATGTTGAACATTGGTGCAGGAGCCAGAGCCAGAGCTGAGCACTGAGTGCTGAGAGCTGGAGTTGAGTGCTGTTGTGACCATTCAGCAGGCAGGAAGAGATTTGTGACTTAGCAAATCAGGCAAACTTGTGAAATTTGGTAATGGTACCAGGATGGATTCATTTTGGAACAAAGGAAAATCTTCACTTGAGTTTCACCTGAATTTGCACATCAGAGTAGTTTTGGAAATTACAGCTGGTGCCATGTCGCAAATTGGGATTATTTATTAATTTCAATACCTTTTCCTGGCAGATACAATTTTGCATAGATGATAAGGTTGGAATTTGTGTTGCCATGGCACAAATTGAGAACAAAACAATGCTTTACTTTCTTTATCTGCAGCATTAATCAAATCACTAATGTAAGAAATTCGATCACTTTTGACATTGGAACATTTGTGTCTCTTAAGAAAAAATTGATGTGATCATGTTCCCCAAGGAAATGCTGCATTATTTTAACTGTTGCTAAGGCATTGTGTAATTAAATTTACACACTGAAAAGTCTTAATGCCTGTGGTGTCAAATGGCCCTCAATGTGGCATTCTTGGTTGCAGAGCAATGACAAGGTCACTCAAACAAGTATGTCAAGGGCAAATGAGGAATTTGTGCCTCAGTACTGACTGTGTTACTTGGCCCTGTTCTCCCCTGGGGAATTTAGACAATCCTGTCCCTGGGTCAATTGAAGGAATGCCTATGGGCAAGTGTTTTACTTGTGATGGTGGGATTAAGTCTGATATTGATAACTGGCCTCTGGGTGCTAGGATGCAACGAATGGTGATTGCTTGAACAGAGATAGGGCTTCTTCACTGATGTCAATCAGTAAAAGCAATTATATCATAACCAGCACTCACCGAGATGACCAAAAGCTTCGCCTGGTAAAAGTGTTAACAGTGAACCTGACAGCTTCTTCAACAGTCCTAGTCTTATCAGCTAAAATGATGGTGTCCACTAGTACAAGGGATGAAACACCTTAGGCACCACTTTTTAGTGGGATTAAGGGTCTATTAGATATACTTTTTGTGACATAAACAATGTATCTAATAGACACATCTCTTCAACCCTCATACTACCATCTTGCAAACTCACAGGGGATGCTCTTGGGGAGCCTCCTCCAATGTTGGCTCTGTATGGCTCCCACATTTCATACATCCCACGGTATGTTTTTTTTGTCTTCATATTTTCTCTGAAACATGCATCCCCATCCTGGGACTTGCTGTTCATTGCCTAGCACAAGTTTTGGCTTGGGCCAGCATTTCTCGAGTCCAACAAAGCGGCATAACAAGAGGAAATTGCAGACTAATGTTATCATTCCAGGTCAACGTGCCAAACAGCAATGTCTCTGTCAACAGTTGAGTGATCTTTTGAATCACAAGTCATCTCCCAGTCCATCATCTACTATTGACACCCCTCCCCCCAAACCAACCACTCCAGATGCGCTGGATGACACTGACACAATCCAGCACTCTGGTGATGAACTGTTGCCCAAAGATGTTGCTGACTATTCCATGCCAAGCATGGCCATTGACCAGCTGTATGACAATTGGATGGCAGTTATCCCTACAATCATCGAGCCATATCTCCAACATATGGCAGAAACTGTTGGAAAGCCACTTATAACCTATGATAAACCACTCTCCAGTTGTCAGGCAGGATGTGAACTCAAGCATTCTTCCCTACTCTGTTTATACTTTGACTGTGTGTAACATCCTCACATCTCCTCATGGAGGCTGATATCATTTCAGGTTTTGCAACTGTTATGGTTCTAAGTTGTACATGCACATCACTTCCTCAGTTACTCTTATGTTCTGGGCTCTTTCCCACTGCCCCCTCTCAACCTCACCTGGCCATTTCTGTGGAATTACTTGCTTTCTATCAGGCACTGTTTGAACATTCTTGTGACTTGATCAATGCCCTCGTCTCTGCACTCAATACACATTATGAACAATGAGGGTTCTGGATGACCACCCGAGAGGTCAGTGGTTTGTTTGCTGACCTGCTCATACTTACAAGTATGGCACACAGGGTGGAGTTATTCGAGATCCATTCTGTCATAGCATTGGCAATGCTGTCCAGTGGTACAATATCTTGCAAGTGCATATTGAGTGCTGTGCCAAAAGTATTATCAAACATTGTCACCAAACTGTTCTTGACCATCTCAATCACATGCAATCTGCTCAGCAACCGTCATTCACTGTGATCCTACCATCTTCCGAACAGTTCTCATTGTCACAATGTGCATCCATAGTTGTCCAAAGGTGCCCAGTGTGTTTCACAGGTCACACATTTGGATGGCTGCTGAGTGATGGTGGTGATATTCATATCACACTTGATGGGAACTTTCACCATTGTCATTGGTGCTCAGCTGGTAGTTGTCCTGCATTTTATGACCCCACATATTTCATTCCCAAGGTTCAAGTCAACAATGTTGGATGCTGGATTGAACAAGTGCATAAGTGGCCACTGAGACAACAGTGTGTTGAAGTTCCTGATGAAGCAATTGATCAATGTGAAGCATCATACAAAGCAGCTGACAGCAACAAGCAGAAGGCTGCAATGGACTGCTTCGATGACACTGGAATTATGGCATTGATATGCCATCATGACATCCCTCTCTTCTTTGCAAATATCAACATGCCTGGTGAGCAACAGAAGTATAGTGTTGCCCTTCTTGAACACCTCTTCTCCCACTTGCCAGTCACTGCAACTGTTGTTGCATTGTATGATATTGGTTGCATTCTCACATGTTCTTTAGACAAGGTATATACAAAGTCTCATCCCCATACACTAGTACTGACTTCCTGCAGTTTGAAATCCTCAATAATGAAATGGTTTGTTGCATCCACTTTGCAACAACTGCAATGCACACCTATGGCCACAAATGGGCATGCCAGCACATTTATAACCCCCACATTACTACAGGACTCAGTCTTTCTGATGGAGAGGGCACTGAACACCTCTGGTCCCATTTCACCAAGCTCATTGGTGTTGAGCAAGCATCGTCAGCAAGTTCATTTTATTACTCTAGTTTACCCAGAACTGAAAAAGTGTTCGATTAGTGCCAGCGCCATATCTGGTTTATCAATCATCACACTGCTGCAATAGGGCTGGAGATGTGAAATGATCTTGGTGACTGGATTTGATGCTGACTGAGGAAAGGAATTGCCAAACAAGGTAGTGAAGCATGTCAGATTCTTGGTGATTGCGGAATTGATATCCTGGAATTGCAGAACGAGTGGGCTAGCCAATGTAGCGCTCAGCTTTCCATATGGGCTCATAAGTATTTCTGCATCTATTAGACTGCATTATTCATTCTTCACCTTTAGATGCACCGGCTTGATTAAAAAAAGAACTGGACACTGTACTCATGTTGCAGGCCAGCTTAGAGGTTGCTGACCAAGCACTTCAAGCTGCATGTGCAATAATTGAGAAGGATGCGACAGAGGATACCCTTGAGGCTCTGGAGAGTTTGGAGTGCAGCCATGATCATCCTTTAAACAAGGTGGACCTACTATATGCGTCCCTCAACATCCATGACAAGTTTCCTGAGCTCAACAGTGTCAACATCAAGTTCATTCAGATGCTTCTTTTGGCTTGTGATTTGAAGATCAACATCTGGAAACAGGCAATTGGGAGCTTTTTTGAGTGGGACAAACTTGATCACGCAGTAGGGGGAAAGCAGAAAGCCTTGGGTAGTATTGCTGAACCTATGACTCGGTGTCACAATGCTGATCATTTCTTTCTAGGTATGAAGCTCCACCAGCAAACTCACAAAGCAATTGCAAAGCATCAGCCCACACTCATGTCAGCCATCTGAAAATTCAACATGTATTGTGAATGTCTCACAAAACTATATGACATGTCATCCGGCATCCCCCTTCCTTCGCTGCTCCCAACAAAATTAGCTGAACTATGTAATGATCAATCCCTCTTCGAAGACATTTGGATCACTCCCTCTATCAGAGAAATCCCATGGTGATTGCAAGACTCTGATGTGAGAGAAGGCATTAGAGCAGTCCTGAAGACTGACTGCTGTCTCGAAGAACAACACCACCTTGGCATGGAGGCTGACAACATGTGCCGATGGTTTGGCAGCAAGCTGTGTGCCATTGAACTTGCAATTCAGCAGCCAGAAAGTAAGTCAAGGTACTGCTGATTATATTCAGGATCTAAGGATCTTTAGGATTCTATGTACTCTCTGGTTCTTCAACAACATCAGCAAATTACTGGCCAAGATGCAGGAAAGGTGGCCCACACTGTTGGCCTCCACAGTTTGTTATGCAAGTCAAGCCCACAGTGCACAGGCTATTTCCACTTCCCTCACTGGTACCCCCACCCCTCTTGAGCTGCGATGGCTGCCACCTATTCAATGTGATGTATCTGCAGATGTCCTTAGTGAGGCAGACTCCATGTTACCACTGACTGACATTGATGCAGGAGAACACATTTTGGACCCCAATCAGACTGTGTTCACAGACATTCTTGAAGATGTACCATCCAATGCTGATGAAGGCAGTTTGTCTGATGATGATGAGGATCAGAAAAAGATTCATAATGTGAATCTTGTTTGGGAAATTCCCTTTGTAAGTTCCATTCAAGTGCACAAGTCCTGACTAATTTGCTACACAGATCCCCATGGTTGATATGATCAATGTCCACAATGACCTGCCTCTCATCTGCAGCATTTATGCAAGGTGCATCCAACAATCACCAGATGGTTTTCCTCGGTACATCTTTGAGCTGGACAACTATGAGTGGCTTGCTTCTGCCACTGGTTTGCTCAATGATAGCTGTATCAATGGCTGTGCTGCACTACTCTACTCAGAATTTCTGTCATTGAATGCCTCACAGTGCATGATACTGTCAGCTCACAATCTCCCCTGCATTTGATACCATGCTGAAGACAACATTTTGTGGTGCAACACCTCATGAACATGTTATTGGGAGAAACCCATCTGTATACTCCCCATCCATCAACCATCCCCAGTCAGCCATTGGGTTGTTTGCATTGTCAAGTTTACTTCAAAACAAATACTCCTTTTTGACAGCCTTGCAGAACAAAAACCTTGGAAATGCAATGTCAAGGTATTCTGTCATGTCTGTCTAGTGTTCTTACTGATGATTCACAGGATATCACCCATCTTGTCACTCGCCTGTCCCTCATAGCCTTGAAGAGGCTCGGAATTCCTCAGAGAGATTTTGGAAGCTGGTCTGCACACCTGATTGCAGTAAGTACTAAAAATACATGCGAAAATGGCTCCCTTGTCAAATTACTAGCTCAGCCCTCTGCAATAAAATGGGTATGACTGTGGACTTTGGGTTTTGGCTCAGGTCACAGCAGTTCTGTGAGGCTGCGACATTACAAACTTGTGTGAGGTGGATATGTGCAATTTTCATCATTATCTCCAACATCTTATACTTTGCATACCAGTGTAACTATGAACTACCTGCATAATGATCCCTGCCATTTTCCAATTCCAACACTTCTTGTGTAATATGGTAGATATCCTGAGCTTGCCACTGCAGCCAACATGCTGCCATTTGAATGTTGTGGTCACCTGACATGCCAGGACCCCCAATAGTATCATATATGGCTGACCATTGCACTAACTTCTCTGTGATATTGCCTATCAGTTCAGTGAACACCTGCTGATGGTCTCCATTTTCAAGATGTTTTGCTCAATGAGTATCTGCTTCTCCTAACAGCCTTGCACATCGCCTGAGCATGACATCCACCAGATTGTGCATAAACCTGTGTTCTCCCAGTGTTGGGTCTGGCTCAGTGTGCATATATGGAGGCTCTCTTTCCCACTTAAGCAGATCTGATTCATCCAAAGCATCAGCACTCTCAGCGGCTTCCAGAAATAGGGGTGACATAGGTAGAGGTATCATTGCATAGGCAATAAGAGCTGGTGGGAGGGATGGGACAGAGGAAATGACACTGGGATGGATGATACTTGACACAGATGGAATCATTGAACAGAGAGCATCTTTACTGAGATGGCATCCAGCACACTTCTGGTACACATGGTGATTCTGAGCAGGTTGTAGTTCTTTGCCTCTGAAATGTGTTGTAATTGAGGATTGAACTGTAGAAACATGGGAATAATTACTTTGTCGATGCATAGATGGCCTTCTGTCTGTGTTCAGTGGTTTGTCTTTCGTGTAGAGTGAAGTATTTAGCAGTGCATCCCATATAACTGTGAAGTTCAGTAAGGGACAATTGGCTAACTTGAGTCAGTTGTGACACATTGGTGAAGTACAAAACCAGAGTACTACACACTTGCTGCCAAGTATCAGATGGTCACAGTTAGGATAAATTGTAGCATAACATGTATGAATTTTGGTGACATTTGTTGGGGGGGGGAAGTAGTGCAACATTTCCAACTCTTTCTGCCTGCGAAAACACATTTGGTGGTGTTCTAGCTATGTTTTCCTTTCAGTAGGAAGGCTATTCAGATTGTAATTGGCTACTGTTATTGCACACCGGTTTGACATGTGTCCTCAGCATTCCAAGTCGCACTCCAAGTCCATCCTCAGTGCCTTACCACTACTGATCACTATTCGTAGATGACCTGCAATGACCACTGCTATGGTCATTCTGCCCAAAAATTGAGTAGAAGGGTTCAGGATATTTTGCAATCCAGGGAAAAAATCACAGCAAATGCTCTCACATTCTTACCTAGAGCCTCTCTGCACCCTCTCCAACCTCTCCATTCGAAGTTTGCTGTCACCATCTCGAGACAACTCCTTGGCTTGGAATTATCATGTCCCTTCTCCTTCTTTGAAAGCTTCCAACTGCCTTACTCTTGAGATGCCCATTGCGATCCTCACTAGATCTGCCACAATGCTCATCTTGCATAAAGACAGTGCACCAGTCCTGGTTGTACTTTTCCTCCATTCACCAATCTCTGTGCAACTGGAAATTTTTGTGACTTTGGTTTGTACTATCTATCCCGTATCTCACACTATCTGATGTCATTCAGAAAAAAATGTGAGATTCTAGCAAGTCAGGAGTGCTTGACCCTCTGGGTAGTTCCTCATGACCTGCATCAACATGCCTGAACACTCTCCCAGCATATCCAGGACAATCTACAAGCACACAGGATGATTTTGTCATTGTCCAGGTTGGGAGTGGTCGCCACAATCCATCACCAGCCCTGGTGGTGACTCCAGCACATCTCTGCCAGAAAATCAAGGCAACCACTTGAGACACTGGTCTAGTTTGTGAGGCATCACTCTGCCAAGGTCATTTGCCCCCAGTCAAACCCCCAATGTCTCCAATGGGGGGTTCCCAAGATGCTGATGATGATATCAATCCTTTCCTGTCAGAACCCATTATCCAGCCTACCTGATGGTTCAGTCAGACATCTCCCTCAGTATGGCTGCCAGTGAGTCATTTACTGCTTTTGAAGGATGCTTCCAATATTTATATCAATCTAGTTGCTGAAGGTGACAACCCACCATGTCCTGGGCCTGGACTCTCTGCCCCCCCTCTCAATACCCTGGCAGTGCCATCCAAGACCCCTCCCAGCAGACCCTCTGCCCCCCCTCTCAATACTGCAGCAGTGCCATCCAAGACCCCTCCCCATGGACCCTCTTCCCCTCCTCTCAATACTGTGGCAGCACCATCCAAGCTGCCTCCCCACCAACCTTCTGTACCCCCTCTCAATTCTGCAGCAGTGTCATTCAAGTGACTTCCTGGTTTATCAGCACCCATAGTTCACAAGCCACATTCTACATCAGTGCTGACTCACACCCATGGTTTGGCTCCATCTTTGGCTCTGGATAGGTTGGCCTTCAAGCCTTCAGAGAGTTTCATTACCATCAACAATGTAAGTACTCATCACCCCCAGACAATCATCTAATCATTTAATATTGTCAGACTTCCAAGATCATTCCACCTCCTGATACATCATTGATTACTTGTCCAGAGTCACCCACTCCTTGTCATGCTGCTTCCAGCCCTTTGCAAAGACATGATCAGCCATCACCTCTACCCTCTCAAGAAAACACACTCAGTGTCAAGACTGATAGGCACAATGGGGATGGCAACAATGGTCTATATACTCATGGGAGGTTGCCAGCTGCCACTATAGATGAATTCAATGAAGGCTTTTGGCAGGTCAATGAAATATTCAGCAAGCTTGGGGAAAGTCAAGGAATGCCATGGCAACAAGTCAAGGACCACTACAATTGCCAATATTCTTGCTCAAATGTGCAAAATCTTTGGAACATGTACTTGGTGTATTTTGCAAAGAACCCAGAATCCGAACTTGCCTGGCTCCCTCAGGGTGACCACACAATTGAAGGGAGCCCCTCTGTAGATATTAGGAAGAAGTGTTATGCGTGTTTTAAAGAAGTATACTCAGAAAACTATATCGACATCCTGGAAACACAGAAGGAGTCAGAAGAACTGCAAGATTTAGGTGGAACAGTTGCTCAGCATCAGCAACTTTTCAACAAGTCCATTGTGAGTCAAAGTGTGGTTCAGTGGTGAAAACCAACCAAAACCAACACAAAAGACAAAAAGAGCGAGTGGTGGTGTGCCTATATGGTACCTAGATGGTAGAACCTGTTCTTTGGGAGGGTTTTTGCAAGCTACAACACTCAAAGATGAGTGCTGAGGATTGGGGGTGCTCCTGATGAAGAAGAAGCAGGAATGCAAGAGAATGTGATAGGGTAGACTGCTGTCAGCCTACAGAAGGATGGATGATGACTTAATTTAATGTCCTCCTAAGCTGCACTGAGCTCAGGGAGGGCTTGGAGCGAAGTATATTGATGATAGACAAGGATAAGCAAAGTAGACAATAGTTAGACCCTTAATAAAGTCTCAACTATCAAAGCTGCTGAATGAATTACTGAGTGATGATAAAATGTGAGCAAGAGGGGCCCTCTGACATCTTTTTTTTTTTTGCTATCTAAGTACAGTGATTTATATACAGTACAGGGGTGTTGCCCTTGGAAAACAAGGTGCAAACACTTGGTAAGTGATTGGTAACTGATGAGTAAGGAATGTAAGTGATGGGTAATCATCTTGGAAAGCATTGGTAAGCATTGGTAAGGATTAGCAAGCCAAAAAGTGAAGAATCAGTAAGCAAAGTCAAAAGATTGGTAAGTATTGGCAATAGGTGAGTCAAAGACAGTCAGAACATCAAAGTATGAGTCAAGTAATGTCAGGAACTGGGAAAGTGCACTGGAATCACATTAGGGGGAGGCTGTGCATGTCACATCTTGAAGAGATTGCTTCTAGGCCAAGGTGGGATGACAGAGAGGCAGCGCTGATCTGATGCTGATATAGTACATCCAAAAGTGGACAGGGTGAGTCAGATGTCAACAGGGGTCAAGCTTTGGGGGTCTGTGGGGTGACAGGAGCATAGGGGATCGCAACTTTCCCCCCCAAACCATCCTCTCAGTGAAGCAAATAAAAACTTCATGAATGAGGCTCTGTTGGAAGAGAGGATGAATGGGGAGTGTCTTCTGCTATATCTTGCAACAAGGAGGCAAGATGTGCATCATACTCATCATGGATGCGATCAGGGAGAGTGGAGAACAGTAGATTATACTGTAGCTGTTGCAATCTTGGAAGAATGATGGACAAGACCAGTATGAAGACATTGCAGGGAGCAGGGAGGAAGGATCCATATGCTTCTTGGACTGCAGGGACTGAAACTACCACATAAGACCTTTCCAAGTGAATGACAGACCTGAGGCGACCAAAGAACATCCTCCTAGAGGTCATACTGACAAAAAGAACACACTGTCCAAGCTGGATGGGCTGAGAGGGCACAGATGAGGGTGGGATGTACCAGGATGCTTCAGGATGGAAGCTGGTAGGAACTCCTGGTAGATATATGTAGCCATGGTCCCTAGCAAAGGGGACAAGCGAAATGAGCATCTTTTGGAGGGAGTGCTGTAGAAACATGTGGAGTGTGCAAATCCTTTCCAATTTTGGAAGGTAAGATCACATGGCTGAGCACTACAAGCGAGTGTGGGAATGGTCTTGGTATCTGCAGAAATGGTGGAGATATGTTGAAAACCAGAATGCCATACATGGGCACTTAAGAATTTTAGCCAGTGCTTAACCCACTCCCTTTCTTTTTCTCTGGCACTGATGACTTGTTCTTGTGCAAGGGATGACAGCTGCCAACATTCCTGGCTGTACCTTCTTCATATGAGGGTTATGGTCTTCATCTCCATTCATCAGCTGTATCCCTTGCACAAGAACAAGTCATCAGTGCCAGAGAAAAAGAAAGGGAGTGGGTTAAGCACTGGCTAAAATTCTTAAGTGCCCATGTATGGCATTCTGGTTTTCAACATATCTCCACCATTTCTGCAGATACCAAGACCATTCCCACACTCGCTTGTAGTGCTCAGCCATGTGATCTTACCTTCCAAAATTGGAAAGGATTTGCACACTCCACATGTTTCTACAGCACTCCCTCCAAAAGATGCTCATTTCGCTTGTCCCCTTTGCTAGGGACCATGGCTACATATATCTACCAGGAGTTCCTACCAGCTTCCATCCTGAAGCATCCTGGTACATCCCACCCTCATCTGTGCCCTCTCAGCCCATCCAGCTTGGACAGTGTGTTCTTTTTGTCAGTATGACCTCTAGGAGGATGTTCTTTGGTCGCCTCAGGTCTGTCATTCACTTGGAAAGGTCTTATGTGGTAGTTTCAGTCCCTGCAGTCCAAGAAGCATATGGATCCTTCCTCCCTGCTCCCTGCAATGTCTTCATACTGGTCTTGTCCATCATTCTTCCAAGATTGCAACAGCTACAGTATAATCTACTGTTCTCCACTCTCCCTGATCGCATCCATGATGAGTATGATGCACATCTTGCCTCCTTGTTGCAAGATATAGCAGAAGACACTCCCCATTCATCCTCTCTTCCAACAGAGCCTCATTCATGAAGTTTTTATTTGCTTCACTGAGAGGATGGTTTGGGGGGGAAAGTTGCGATCCCCTATGCTCCTGTCACCCCACAGACCCCCAAAGCTTGACCCCTGTTGACATCTGACTCACCCTGTCCACTTTTGGATGTACTATATCAGCATCAGATCAGCGCTGCCTCTCTGTCATCCCACCTTGGCCTAGAAGCAATCTCTTCAAGATGTGACATGCACAGCCTCCCCCTAATGTGATTCCAGTGCACTTTCCCAGTTCCTGACATTACTTGACTCATACTTTGATGTTCTGACTGTCTTTGACTCACCTATTGCCAATACTTACCAATCTTTTGACTTTGCTTACTGATTCTTCACTTTTTGGCTTGCTAATCCTTACCAATGCTTACCAATGCTTTCCAAGATGATTACCCATCACTTACATTCCTTACTCATCAGTTACCAATCACTTACCAAGTGTTTGCACCTTGTTTTCCAAGGGCAACACCCCTGTACTGTATATAAATCACTGTACTTAGATAGCAAAAAAAAAAAAGATGTCAGAGGGCCCCTCTTGCTCACATTTTATCATCACTCAGTAATTCATTCAGCAGCTTTGATAGTTGAGACTTTATTAAGGGTCTAACTATTGTCTACTTTGCTTATCCTTGTCTATCATCAATATACTTCGCTCCAAGCCCTCCCTGAGCTCAGTGCAGCTTAGGAGGACATTAAATTAAGTCATCATCCATCCTTCTGTAGGCTGACAGCAGTCTACCCTATCACATTCTCTTGCATTCCTGCTTCTTCTTCATCAGGAGCACCCCCAATCCTCAGCACTCATCTTTGAGTGTTGTAGCTTGCAAAAACCCTCCCAAAGAACAGGTTCTACCATCTAGGTACCATATAGGCACACCACCACTCGCTCTTTTTGTCTTTTGTGTTGGTTTTGGTTGGTTTTCACCACTGAACCACACTTTGACTCAGTGTCCTTCCAACATTAGCTTCCCTTGTCATCTAACGATTCTTAAAGAAAACTTTGGATTCAAATGGGCATCCCAAAAGCTATTTCCCTGGAAGTCTCTCCTGAATCAGCTGGCAGGCAGCACACTCATCATGTATAACTGGCCAGCAGATGTTATCTTCCCAGGTGAGGAATGCCATGGCAAGGCATCTGGGAAAGGGATCTCAGACCTCACATGTGCAGACTGTTCTAAGCTCATTGCTGCACTTGTGGACACTAGCAAAAGCAAACTCTGCATCCAGCACAACCCCAAAAACAAAAGTATGTCCTCTGTCTTTTTATGGTTGATGAGTACTAATGCAGCTATAGCAAATCTGCTCACATCCAAGAGTCCAGTTATCATCAGTGCCCCACCATCATTTGACTCAAAACTGCCAAGGGGAAAGCAGATCTTCTGTAGTCTTGAAGTTGACCACCTCAGACCAGCTCAACTCCTCAATCGATCTGCCACATGCATCAAGAAGACTAAGCTGAAGAAGGCCACACCTGCCAGAGGTGATGTTGAGAAGGGAAACTTGGCCACCATCAACACATCTGACAGCATCGAAGAGGTTCCTGCAGCCAAGCCTTGTACTTCCACCACCACCTCTGGGATGCAGCTCATGGGTATATTGCATCCTCAATGGTCTTCCAAGTCAAAAATCACAACAACTTCTGAACTTGTCATCTCCAACAATAGCTCAATCTCTGAAAGCAAGTTGCCCAGCAATGACTACCTGCCCAATCAACAATCCCAAGGTGTCCAGGACAGTGAGATGGATATAGACAATGGTGAGGTCAAAAGGAATGGTGCTGAGGACAGTGACTCTGACTATGCATGAGAACCATTGTCACATAAGCATAAAGTCAAGGGCCATGAAGTGGGCAATCCAAAGCAGAAAAGGAATGTCTCACCTTTGCATAGCAAGGGCTGCATATCTAAATGGAGCAAGACCATAAGGTTCAAAGGCTCATCAATTCCTATGACCAGTAGCAAGGCCCACCATCGCATTCCTTCTTCACCAACATATGTTTCATTGGAGGAGGATGCTTCTGTGCAGAGAGGTACTCGATCTGATGTTCCACTGGATGCTTGCAAGGAGTCCATTCAGACTGCACAGGTGCACACCCCTCCAATTATTCCCGACTCTGCTCATCATACTGACATTCCCAGTTCTGCAAAGGAACATACTTCATGCGATGTTCAGGACTCTCACAAGGAGGCTGTCAACATTCCAAAGGTGATCATCCCTACTATTACCCTGGGTGGCTCTGTTGATTGTGATATCTCACCTACTGACTCTGATAATCTGTCTGTCCCTGTCACTTCTTGCTTGAACCCTCTTCTGACACCATTATATCCAGTTTGCCAGACACTTCTGGGACATCCTATGGCATTCCCAACAACTTATCTGATGCTCCTGGAACTGTAGGTGGCAATAGTGCTCACTCACATGATACTCCTGGAGTGACAGGCAATAGTTTTAGAGGTGCGTACAGTTACCTTGATTATGTGCACTACTAATGAGTCATCACTATTGATTGTCTAGCCCTGAAATCAGTTATGCTGGCTGCAAGAAGCCTGGATACTTGTTATGCTGCTGACCTTTTTACTGGACAGGGTGACAGACCAACTGTCCCCTCAGACATGGACTTCCTTCTTCTCCCATTGTATGAGTGACACCACCGCTGGATCAGGTTCATCGATTCCACAGCCATCCCACTTAGAACTCCCAGCAATCTACATCAATCTGCTGACAACAAGTCAAGCAGAGTGCCCAAGGCCTCACATTGTGCAGGGTGGAACCCATTCAGGTGATGAGCCTGAACCATTTAACCTTCAGCACCAGGCATTTCCCAAGTTGGATGAGCCAGGATTATCTGGCGAGTGTCCATCTATGGTGTCTGCAAGACTTTTGGCTGCCAAGGTCATTTGCCCACAATTAAAGGAGAAGCTGATGGTCCCCAGGGAAGTGATCACAGTGGGCACTCCAATCTGACAGTGGGCGGAGTTCATCTGCCCTGCCCTTATCCCATTCCCCATCCTATATCTTGCCAAGAGTCATTTGTCCATCCATCTCAGCAACATGGTTTTGTTGATCAGCTCCCTGGGCCTGGAGTGCCACCATGGCAGATGCTGGGTGCACCATATGATTACAATGCTGGCTTACATGGAGGGTGGTACAACCATCCAGCAGCTCCTTACCATCCTGCATATCCCCTGCCCCATCTTGCCTACCATGGCTCATACACAGATCCTGGTGCTTCCCATGTCCCCTCCACCAACAACACAGGGCATCCAAACTATGGTGCCCAACATGCCACTGTCACTCATGGGCCAGGTTACCATTTTGGCAGTAACATTCACCATGACCTCGCACCACCCAGACAAACTGCCCCCCTCCCTGATCCTAATTCTGCTCACATGTACCCACCCCCCTCACATCTTGGTGACACAACAATGTCAAAGTCGTCTGGTGAGTAGTCCATCAGATGTCTGTGGAAGATCCTGCATCTAGTGGGGTGGCAACATTTTGATGTCCATATCTTGATCCATGTCTTTTTCTATTTACAAGTCACATCTACCCCAAATGTTCTATATTCACACTCTTCTTCCTTGACTCGGGATTACCTCATGCCATGTATTAGTCATCATGCAATACACCTTTCCATGCACAACATATTAATGCATTGTGATTTAGCAACATAAAGTTCGCGAAACAAAATTGGAGGAGTACCTCTGGCAGATAGTCGGTATATACTTAGATGAGCTCCCAGGAAAAGCCTCGAGGAGCCTCCTTGGAGGGATAGAAAATACTCGAAGAACCCTCCCAGTCTGATTAGTGCCTCTGACAGATGGTTGGGACATAGGTAGATGAACAACGGAAAATGGCTCGGGAATCCTCCTGGGAGGGATAGAAAACACTCAAAGATCCCGCCTAGCTACATGGCGAATCTCGCCCGATAGACGGGTGGACCTCCGTAGAGGGATGTAACACGCTCAGCTTACCTTCCCCACAACGTTGATCTTTGCCATTAGCGGCAGGGAGGGTGCCTCACGACCATTGCTGGAATTGGCTGGAACCTCCCCCTGATGATGGCATCTATTAGGTACATTATTGCGTACACAATAAATATATCTAAAGACCGTGGGAAGGCCCAAAAACTGCTGCCAAGGGTGGGACGAAAACAACTTCGGGAAATTCAAAGCTGCCAAAGTTCTGCACAAGAAGAAATGAGCAACCATTAACTTAGCAGTACCAACACCTACAAGGAAGTGCCACCAAACGAGTGACCAGCTACTACAAGCCTCCGACAGTGATAGCCAAGTTCTTTGCGTGTGTTACTCGTGGCTTCTGGAACACGCGCAAGGCAAGTAGGCAAGGGCACAGGGGTGCTCTCTTCAGGGAGGTAGTTTAAAAGAAAATTCGCAATGTCACGGGCACCATCGTGCCAGTCGACTGAGGGACCGTCAGATCCAATGGATGTCACAGGGGGAGCACATCCTACAAATTCCGCTCAGACTCCCCGCATTCACAAGAGCCGAGTCGCCATGATTGACGGCTTCCTAAGACCAGATGTCGAATCTAGAAGACTTCGTAACATAGGCTCCCATATCTAAAATCCCAGTTACCAACATACAAGGAAAGTGGCTAGTTATACTCACTTCCTTTGGGAACCCGGTTGCAGGAACGAGGAACAAGGTCAAACCAGTCCCCAAGGCATCGCATCTATGTACCCGGACATAGCGGTTGACACAATTCCAAAGTGGTTTCTGGCTACAGTCACCGGTCAATTTCCCTTGCGCGAAACACATCTGCCTCTCAATAAGTTCCCTGATGACCGTGGTTGCTTGCTTCCACCTTTCAGAAGCTGGTATCAAATTAATATATGTTGGAACCTTGGGAATGGGAATATCTGGAACCAGTCTAGGCAAGACAGCGGGAATGATATGTGTGCTGAGCATATAATCCACGTGGATGGTATCTTGTCTAGGAGGCAAGGGCAGTGAGGGAATTCGCAAAAGGGTACGCATCGCTGAACATGAGCTAATGGACACCCAGTGTGGGGGTGGTTTGTGGGGAACACTGCAATTGAAGCCTTGGTGCTCATCCTGGGTTATCAGTTAACGGGACGAAGCGTAGGACCTGTCATTATATATGTCACCGTCCCGTAGCCTACCTATACCAAAAAGCCATGCGCGGTTCGGTTCCATAATGAACGTTCGCGCGGCCGTCAACTCTCGCGTCTATGTGAGAAACAGTTTCGAAGATGTAGGTATTGCGCAGAGGAACGGGAAGCAATAAAAGAGCTAGGCACGAACACTTGCCTTTATTCAGAAAGGTAGTAGCGTTTGAAGTAAAAGCTTTGAGTGTTTGAGGGGCTCAGTTGTCGAGTAGACAAGTGAAGTATCGAATACTTGATTTGATTCGATGGGGATTGAGGAAGAAATCCCCGAGTTTATATACATGAGTAGGTACGCACGGACCAAGAGCGTAAAAGGAAACTACTACTCAGTATAGTAAAGAACAGCATGGAAGGTCATGGAATATGACGTATAATATGATGTCAGAATGACATCATTGTGGAGCTGATTGCTAAGGAATGTCATGTGATGAACAACGTGTTGATACACATGTAAGTCTGGATCAATCTAGACGTCGGAACATATAGTAATATTTCCAACACTCCCCCTCGCTCTAAAAGGGTAAGGTAACGAGACCCATTGACGAGCGATTAGTTTCAAATTTTTGCCATGTCAAAGATTTTGTAAGACCGTCTGCTTTTTGTTTGTCAGTTTGAATGTATTCAATACTGAACAAACCATCTTGTACACATTCGCGAACGAAGTGCCATTGGACGTCGATATGTTTGGAACGACCGTCCGATACAGGATTCTCAGCAATAAAGCGAGCTCCCATATTATCGCAGTATAGAATAGTCTTTTCGGTCTTGAGTTTAAGTTCATCAAATAGCATTGACAGCCATTTGATTTGACGTGCAGCATCACAGAGAGCCATATATTCGGCTTCTGTAGAGGAGAGCGCGATTGTCTTTTGTTTACGAGAGCGCCAAGAGATAAGGGATGATCCGAGGAACATGCCATATCCAGTAGTGGAATGACGAGTGTCTTTATTAGCAGCCCAATCAGAGTCGGCGAAGCCATAGATTCGAGATTCAAGTCCCGAATAGTATAAAGCCAATTTAGGAGTAGATGCAATATAGCGAACTATATGCAAGGCTTTGTTTCGGTGATCTTCGGTAGGATTTGCCATATATTGAGACATGCGAATAACCGCAAAGGCAATATCGGGACGAGTACCGAGTGCCATATAAAGCAGTGATCCAATGATGGATTGGTACTGTGACCGAAGAGAAGATGTGGCTTGATAATCCATGGGTGCTTTTTCTGGTTGATATCCCGAAGGTAATGGAGTGCGAACATTTCGAGCAGTCTCCATATTAAATCTTTTGATAACCTTTTTGACATAAGGTATTTGATCGAGATAAAGTTCCTTTTTGGATCGATCACGGTGAATTTGAATGCCAAGGTATTCCTTGACTTCACCAAGATCACGAGATTCCCATTTCTTCATGAATTGTTCTTTCTTGGCTTTGAGAAGACGTTTGTCCGATCCTAGAAAGAGTCCATCGTCGACATAGACGAGGAAAATGACAATTCCAGCTTTGGAAATGTGGATATAAATTCCAGCATCCACTTTTGAACGAATATAGCCCATTGCTAGTAGAGATTGATGAAGGGCTTTATTCCATGCCAACGCAGCTTGCTTTAAGCCGTATAAGGCTCGAAGCAACCGATAAACCTTGTGTTCTTGACCCGAAACTTTGAAACCTTCTGGTTGCTCCATATAAATTTCTTCATCAAGGTTTCCATATAGGAAAGCGGTTTTAACATCCAGGGCTTCAGTATCCCAATTTCTTTGGGCAGCGAATGCAAGTAAGATTCGAACAGTTTCGAAACGAGCCACTGGAGAGAAGGTATCTTCAAAGTCGGTACCAAATTCTTGTGTAAAGCCTTTAGCCACAAGACGAGCTTTATAACGACCATCGCTTTTAATTGCGAAAACCCATCGACACTTGACTGGTTTCCGATTTCTGGGAGGATCCACCAAAGTCCAAACTTGTCTTTCTTCAATAGACTTTAATTCGTCCTTCATAGCATCGAACCATTTCTTTTGCAAATCCGGAGATAACTTTAGCACATCTTTAAAATGTTCCGGAGATTCTTTTATTCTGGCAGCCAATGCAAACTCGAAAGGATGCATTTCAGGACCTGGCATTTGTGCATGTTGGTCTGTCATGCCTTTAGGCGAAGAAGGAGTTTCCGGAAGTGGAGTAAGCGGTGAACCAGGAGAAGGAGGTGTAGTTCCTTGTGGATGTTCAGTCCACTGACGAGGAACTTCAGGAGGAACAAGTGTAGGAGGTAACCTCGGAGAAGGAGGTCTCCTTTGCTCTTGTTGTGAACGAATAAACTCCCTGGTTTGTCGTGCATGCTCTTCAGCATTGCGAATCCACTGTTGTGCTTGATCCCGATTTCTTTGAATATCTCTTTCAATGTCAACTGGGGGTCTGTCTCCATAGAGATTCCCAGGACGAGATACTGGTATAAAACGACGCTTTGGACGAGGTTCTCTGTCATCGGCAGGAGGTTGAGCTCTGCGAACATTGCGCGAGTCACCTTGAATAAATTCAGGTTGGTGAGGATGCCTAAGATGACGAGGGTCGACTGATGGTACAGCAGCAGGTGCTCTTTTTTGTTGACCTCTATTATTTCCTTGGTCCTGAGGTCTCTGCTGTGGGTTTGGTTGTGGAGGAGTATTAGGACGAGGTGGTTGCCGGTGATGAGTCGGCGGTTGGATCTGATCAGGATCCGGAAGTGAATGAAGGCTTTCAGAGTCGGAAGAATCAGAGTCTTGGTCGTCTTCGGTATCGGGGTCAAAGGTTTCGGATTTTTGTTGACCAGAGCAAAAAGGAAAAGAGTCTTCTACGAATTTTGCAGTACGAGAAAGAATTATCTTTTGTCCATGAAGGAACCGATATCCTTTGGTATTGGGTTCATATCCCATGAATACCATTTCGACTGCATGAGGTTCCAATTTGTCTTTTCTTTGTTCTTTAGGAACCCATACAAAGGCTTTGCAGCCAAAGGTGCGGAAATAAGTGATATCCGGGACTTTTCCTAAGAATAGTTCAACTGGAGTCTTGAATATAATCCTTTTGAGAGGAGTACGATTGTACACATGAAGTGCACAGTCGAAAGCAAAGTTCCAGAAGCGTTTTGGAACACAGGCATGGTGTCGAATGGTCCCAGCTTTTTCGGAAATTGTCCGATTAAAGCGTTCTGCTCGACCATTCTGTTGAGGTTGGTCGGCAATAGATAGATAATGGGTAATTCCGCGCGAAGAAAGGAGCGCTTTGAAAGTATAACCCATAAATTCTCCCCCTCGATCCGAACGGAGCGCAAGTAGATGATGCCCAGTAGTATTTTGCATAGACACCAACCAATTGGCGAAAGCAGTATAAGTGTCGGATTTGTTGCGAAGGTAGAGACAGAAACCGTAGGATGAGTAATCATCCAAGAGGGTTAAGATATATTTGGACCGAAAATAGGATTCGACAGGTAACTCCATTAAGTCGGCATGAACCAACTCGAGAGGTTTGGTTGCCCGTTTCCAAGAAGGTTTAAAGGCTTCAGAAGATAATTTGCCTTGTGCGCAACCTTTACAAGAGGTAGCCTCCCCCTGTATTTGTATATCTTGTTTTAGCCCTAATCGGCGAATATGTCTGAGAACTGCATTGGCAGGGTGACACATGCGATTATGCCAAAGAGACTCTTGAGATTCCTTAACCAGAGGGCAAAGGACCCCATAGGCAGTGGTAGGTGGAAGCGGTACGCCCACAAACCAGTGAAGAGGTGAAGTCGGTGAAGCTACTTTCGCTTCAAGGACAATCCGGCCATCCGGTGCTCTGATAGTCTCGCTAGTAAGAGTCGCTGTGCTCCTATACCCGTTATTGAGGAGCGCATTTCGAGAGCATAATCTCTTCGAAAATAGAGGGCTATAAACAACATTATGTAGTGGAAGGTTACTGCCATTTTCCAGGCGAATAACCACTGTTCCTTGACCGAGAAGTTGAACCTTTTTAGTGCCTGCAGTAGAGGCCAAAGGTGGGTTTTTAAATTCTCGATAGGTCAAGAAGTCAGTTTTGAAAGGAGTCACATGATGTGATGCTCCAGAATCCAACATCCATAATGACTCACCCTTTGGAAGGTTCTTTTTTAGATTCGCATATGATGTCACACCAAAAGGGTAACAGTCATAAGAATCGAAAGCATGGCCATCGAATTGCATGGGTAAATATCCAGAGGCAGATTCGTTGGGATCATACTCGATGTCTGGATTATGCTTTATACGGAGAGATTTTACAACAGGTAATTCTGGCACAGATTCGTGAAATTTAGATAAGGACATTGGCTTAGCTCTCTTTTTAGAGGCTTTTAATAATACGGATTTGCGGAGAGATCCTCCGTCTGAACTATTCTGTCCTCGAAGTCGAGGGGCAGAGATATTAATAATCCGTTGTTGCGTCTGAGACGCATTGCCATTATCCTTTGCATTCTGGTCCTCCACCATATTCTCGCCAGCCAAAACGGAATTTCCCATTCGTACTGAGGGTTCGAGGGAACCACTCGTACATGTCCCGTCCTGCTCAACAGGGGGAAGGGAAATCGTCCTCGGATGAGAGTCCGAGTTGCTCCGTTGTTGTGGTTCCGAAAGGGATACACCCAGTCGGACGCAAGGTTTGGCTGTTCGGCGACAAATGGAACATTGGCAGATATTAGAGCCGGGAATGTTTACACGAATCGGTACTGACTCAACTTGATCCGGTTGGAAATTTTGAATTTCCTCCAGATACCAAGGAGCAAGGTTTCCGGTTGTGACATCAACTGGATAATTGGGAGAATTCCCAATTTCTTCCATCGCCATAGTTATATCTTGGCGAGTAAGATCAGGATCATACATCTCGGTGTCAGCTATGACATGTGACCCGAGGTATGTATTTAAATCGGAAGA